TTACAACAGTGGCACTATGCAGTATTTGTCCTTTTGTGACTGAGATATTTCACTCAGCATAATGTCCTCCAGGGTCACCCATTTTGTATAATATTTCAGGACTTGTTTTTCAGTGCATCATAGTATTCCATCGTGTGAATATACCCACAGCTTCACTATCCATTTGTTTACTGGTGGGCACTTGGATTATTTCCAACTCTTTGCTATTGTGAACAAAGTAGCAATAAACATGGGTGTGCAAGTATTTGCCCTTTTGTGACTGATATTTCACTCAGCATAATGTCAGTGTCCTCCACAATTACCTAATTTGGGAGGTACTGGAGAGCATTATGCTGAGTGAACTAACTCAGTCCCACAGGGATAAATATTGTATAAAACTATTGTCGGAATAAGTATCAAAAAACGGTGGGAGAGGTTGAAAGCAGAGGGATAAGGATGTGCAGAGGGAGGGGAGGATTAACCATGGGATTGTACAATTTGTTGGGTGGGGCATAAGGGAAATTGAAAGAATTTGTTCTTGAAAATATTCAAATTTTGTAAATAAATTAGTCGAAAAAAAAAATTTTTAAAAAGATGCTTCTGCTCCACGGGTACCACTGCTGATGTTAGAGGGATGCTAGCTGAAAGCAGAGAAATGTCTATTCTTGTTTTATTGACTATGAAAAGGCATTTGTGTGGAATTTATAACAAATTATGGCTAACAGAAAAATGGGAATCAAAGAACACAATTATAAGCAATTCATACCTAGACAAAGACACTGTTACCCAAATGGAGCAAAGGAACACTACATGGTTTCAAATCAGGAAGGATGTGTGCCAGGGATGGAATGTATCCCTTCCCCATACCTCTTCAATCTGTATTCAGGGCAAATAATTCATGACACTGACCTCTATGAAAAGGATGTGGCGTCAGGCTAGGAGGGAGACTCCTGATCAACAACATATGTAATGCAGAAGACACACCTTCCTTGCTCAAAGTGAGGAAAACTTGAAAGGCTTGCTGCAGATCAAGGACTACATCCTTCAGTATGGATTGTATCTCAATATTAAGACAAAAATCTTCACCAATAAGCAACATCATGGTAGATGAAGAAAAGATCAAAGTGGTCAATGATTTCATCTTGCTAGGATCTACAATCAACACCCTTGGTACCAGCAATCAGACGATTAGGAGACATACTGCACTGGGCAAGTCGGCTGTCAGGAATCTCTCCAAAATACTAAAGAGCAATGATGTCAATCTGAAGACTGAAGTGTGCTTGACTCAGACCATGGCCTTTTCAATCACTTGCTATGCATCTGAGAGCCAGACAAAGGAAGAAGGATGATAAAAGAAGAATCGATGCCTTTAAGCTGTAGTTGCTGGAGAAGAGTGCTGAATATATCATGGATTGCAAAAAGAACAAACAGATATGTCGTGGGAAAAGTGCAGCCAGAAGCCAAGTTTCATCTCGCATACTTGGGGCATACTGCTTGGAGAAGCTATTCCTTGGAAGGGGACATCATGCTTGGAAAGGTGGAGGGTCAGGGAGAGAGGAAAACCAGATGGCTAGGCACAGTGGCTGCAGTAATGGGCTCAAGTGTGTCAGCGATGATAAGGATGGCACAGGATAGAAGAGAGCTGTTCGTATGGTCACTATGAGTAGTATTCCATGACTCCTAACAACAACAACAACAATTCTTTGCCAGCTGAGTGACAGAGAGGGACAGATAGGTCAGACTCACCTTCCCTTGTGTAGTGAAAAAAATGGTTTCAAGAGAAGGCAGACAGAACAGCAAGTGGAAGGATGTCACTGAATTGTACATACATCTAGACTGTTGATTTGTATTTGTAGAAACTGCCTATTTGGTGTGTATTCTCTAGATAGTTACAATAACAATTTTTTTTAAAAAAAGTAAAAAAAAGACAAGTGGGAGGGGTAAATCACAAACAGGTGAATTTTACGTCCTCCACATGTGCTTAACAGGTGTGCTGTTTCAACATCTATTTCCTTAGACTTCTGTGTCTCCATATGATGGAACAGGAACAAGCCATGAGAAGGGGCCATGCAGGTCAACATTCACTGATGTAAGACTGTCATATCAAACACTAAGGGTAAAATCAAGTTGTAGAACTCTTAAGAATAAATTGTCTCATTTGAAGAATAAGGGTCGAAAATGAACCTAACCACTGTCCATGGGGGAGCTCTGGTTGTAGTGGTGGGAAGCCAATCCCAAAAGCATGTGGTTCAAATCCACCAGCTCCTCTGCGGGAGAAGGATGGATGGGTAATCTCTGCCATTCAATTTCTTGCCCTGAAAACCTGCTGGAGGGTCAGTTCCAGTTCAATGGCACACACCACCCCCACTGTCCATGAGTATGAAGGGTGGAATCACAAGGAACTCTGGATTTCCCATGTATGTATTTGAACTTGAACCTTGTAGTGTTCATGTATTATATCTGTATTTAGCAAGACTAAAAATACACTAAAATGTTATGACTGTTTTGAAAAATATTTCCATGTTTTAGGAGAAAACATTTATCCATCTCAAGCAAGATCTTAATGTTGTATGAGTACCTTTTCTCCTCAGCAAACAGGCATCATGTGAGATATGGACAGACTACACTGTACTGAGGGCAGTTCTGACGGCCTAGTGGGTAAGGAGCTTTGCTGCCAATCTAAAGACAGGCAGTTCAAACCCACCAGCTGCTCTGCAGAATAAAGATGGACAATCTCCTTCTATGCAATTTACAGTCTCTGAAAACTTGCTGGATGGTCAACCATGAGTTGGTTCCAGCTCAACAGCACATAACAACAAAAGCTAGTAGGGTGGTGGTGGTGGTTATGTGCTGCTGAGCTGAAATTCAAAGCAGCAGGTTTTTGGGGGCTATCAATCATATGGAAGGAGACTGCCCATCTTTCTACCATAGACCAGTTGGTGGATTTGAACCTCCTGGATTTGGGTGTCAGTGCAACTCCTTACCACTAAGCCATCAGATTCCCCTCAATTTGAGTACATATTCTAACCTCATACTGCAATCCTTGCCATTACAGGTGAGATGTAATGTGATGTGCGTGAGTGTGCAGAAGGAGTGTGGGACAGGATGAGGAACTGCAGATCTGTATCTGGGCAAAACCACAGACATGTTAGCAGCCATGCAGAATAGGAAGCAGGGAACCAGGTAAGGCCCTTAAAGCAACATCCAGGTGAACTGGATAGACAGACACATGGAAGAACAACAGCAAAGACAAAATGGACAAGGCTTATCCATGGGTGAGTCGAGGAGAAGGGGGCAAGGTGTGAGTGCAGGGGTCCAAGCTGCCCCTGAGGTTTGGAGCCTGGTGACAGGAAAGTTGGTGAGGCAGAAATAGGGAAGTAAAAAGAAGAAACTTAGGAGGGGCCAGATATCCATGTCAAGCATAGAGCAGGACCTAGACATGGGCAGGAAATTGCCCCTAGGGTGTGGTGACCAGGGTGTTTGGAGACAGCCTTAGACCTGCCGACTAAAAAAGCGGGTGGTTCAAACCCGCCAGCCACACTGAAGAAGAAGGATGAAGCAGTCAGCTTCTGTAGCGATTCACAGCCTGAGGGGTGGACCCAAAGGGGCAGTTCTACTGTGTCCGACAGCCCTGATGTAAGCTGGCACTCACTCGAGGGCAGTGGTTTCAGTTTTTGGAGTTTTAGTGCAGGCAGAGAAGGAGCCAGTGCGGGTCAATACTCCGAGGGAGCAGAGGGGCTGCACCAAGACTCCAAGCTGCAGAAGCCCACGGAGGGGGAAACCTCGGGCAGGAATGCGGGTGTGATGCTGGAGAGACCCCAAATTATTTAGTGCCGCAGGGAATGTTCATAAGGTAACTAATGAGGCATAAAAAGCTGGCTCTAAAGTAACAAAATTTCCCGTTTGACTCCATTTTTTTCCAGAGAGGGGAAAAAAAGATCAAATTTTATTTGTAAATATTTACATGGAATACCCAAACAGTTAAAACTCCATGTAACATGTCCTTTGCTACATCATCCTACTAGAAGAGTCAGCATTAGATTTCTTTTCAATTTTTTTCCTAAAGAAATTGGCTCCTCTTTAAAAAAAAAATCTACATTATTTCAGTTTTTAAACTGTGATCTGAATAAAGGTCTACAAAGAAAATTAATTTTCCATCCAACCATTCACACACATTTTGTTTCATAACATTAAAGAAAAGAGTTACAAGTACATAAACTGCTTTTAGCTAATAATGTCTTGATAACATTAACCACCTGATAAAATTCTGCACAGAAGCTTCCTTCTGCACCATGACATAGTAGTTTTTATTGTGTAACCTAGAAACCTGATAAGACTTGAGCAAAATTGGCTCCAGTTGGCACCCATACCCACCATCAGGCTCAGCTCAACTCTCCCTGCCCCAGCTGCCCATGAGCATATGAGAACCTCATCTACTATGCTTCTCGGAATTGGCACCGGCGCTGAATAACAGTTCTTTCTTAAGGGTTCTGAGGGTAATGGAATTGTTGAAAGGTTGTTGCTGCTGTTGTTAGGTGCCATCAAGTCAAGTATGACTCATAACAATCCTATGAACTACAGATCTGAACCTTGTCCTATCCTGTGCCATCTTGACTATCTCTGATGTACTCAAGCCCATTGCTGTCACTGTGTTAACCCACCTGATTGAGGATTGACTCCATTTTAGTAAACATCCATGTAACCAAACTGAAAAAGAAAATTTCTCAGTGTACATACCAGAATGTTAGCAATGTTTTCTTGTGGTTTCAAAACAAAGGTGATTTCATTCTTGGGGCTTATCTAATCAGTTCCAAATTGCTCTATTGTAAACATATTTTATATCCATTTTTTTTAATAGTCCAAGGAAGTTTTATGGTGGTTTGGGTTTTGTTTTCTTTTTCCTGCTGCAGTGAATTAGCCCTGGCCTGTGCAGGCCCTGGGGCAGCTGGTAGTGTGCATGGAGGGGCCGGAGTAATATGAGGAGTAGCCTGCATGGGGGCCTCAGGAGATGACAAGGCCAAGCAGTGAGAGTCAGTCCTAGTGACAGGAAGTGAAGGAGTACTAGGACCAGGGCAGGAGGCAGGCTGAGGAGAGGTCTGGCTGGGTCAGGGAGGACCAGCATATTAAGAGCCATGAGGGCACAGGCCCCAGACACAGAAGAGAGAAGGTGGGATGGACAACAAGGTCTAGAGGGCAGGAGGGCGTGGGAATCAGAGCTGGAAGAGCGAGGGAAGGCACTCAGGCAGGTCCCAGAGCCAGCTTCTTCTGGCCCAAGCTCCCACCCCAGCAGGCAATTCTCAGGCCAGGGGCCTCCTGCCCGCACTCAAGAGAGCACCAAAGCCAGGGACTCACGCACCTGAGCACGGACTCCACAAACACTCTCAGGGCCTTTATGTGGATCCAGGCAATGAAGGCTTCACTGAAGTTCACCTTGAGCCAGCGCAGCAGGGGGCCCTGTGGAGATAGGGGAACCTCGTCACTTCTTTCTCTTGGGTCTTGACAGAGCAAGCCCTGAACTGAGATGTGCCCAGGAGCCAGCAGAAGAAGCAGAGAGGAAGGGATCCACCAGACATACCTTGAGCGAGGTGAGGCATCGCCTCATCCAAGCCTTGATCGGGACCAGAAGCTTAGCAGCCCAACCACCCAGCACATGCGTGGGGCCACCACAAATCAGGGTGGAGGGCTGGATGGCCCCCTGACCTCGTAGGCTTTCAGCAGGCAGCTAAGAGGCTTCCATCTGACACTGCCCAGTCAGCAAGCCTATCACGGAGACAGCCGGCAGATGGCCCCGTGGGCCCTGGTGTCATCCAACAGCTGCCTCTCAGAGGGTGGCTTCTGAGCTCCACCTCACCTGTCCACATACCTCTGGGCCACACCATGTCATTAGCGCTGGCATGGTCAGTCCCTTGGGGGGAGCTCAGCCGCCAATAAATCTGCTTCCACCTGACACTTTCAACTGCCCACAAAGGTCAGGGGTGAGGGTCCAGCCAGGGCAGTCACAGGAAGAGAGCTGAACTGTCCGACCACCGCCCCCAGCCAGGAGACCCGCTCCGTCACCAGCTGCAGCCACCTCTGGCCAAGGCAGAGGTGCCTTGGCCGACAAGCACCCTTGGGAGTGGCAGGGAGAGTCCAAAGAGGTCCCGCAGATGAAGAGGAAATCATGATTCTAGATTCCTTGAATTTCAGACCTCTAAAGCCGTATGAGATAACAGAAGGTACAGGATGAATTGTCTGAGCAGTTACAGATGCCTGAGCTGGGGAGGGGATGTGAGCCAGGGAACCCCAGGACTCCCAGGGGGTTGCTTACCTCACCCTCGCCCTCACTCTCTCTCTCTCTGTCGGTCTGCCCCGCAGCGAGCCTATCAGGGTTACCTAGCGGGGTTACCTTAACCATGTGGTCCGAGAAGGTAGATGATCCCTTTTTAAGAGCAACACAGGAAGTTTGCTAAAGGCACAGAAATGATTTATTAATCTTTCAGCAAGCATGCATCATAAACAAACAAATAATTCTCATTGCCTGAAAAGCGTAGGAAAGTGAGCATGGGAATTCTGGCCAACCCCCGGGGAGACAGCGTGGTGGCTGGACTAGAAGCTGCTAAGAAAGTAGTCACTGAGGGATGTTAGTCTTGGGGGGGGGGGTCTATATTCTAGAGACAAGTGTCAATCACAGGCAGGGGGTAAGTGCCCACCCTCTCCTCTACCTCGCCATGTCAGAGAGACCCCAGATCCACAGACAGGGGCAACACTAGAAGCAGTTAGTGGAAGTGGTCCCGCTTGGGGAGCCCTCTGTCCAGGTATGGTCAGGATGTCTTTCACTGTGTCCAAGCCCAGAGCCTCCCTGGCATTCACCGTGCACTTACTAAGCATGCTATGTGCAGAAAATTAGTCAGGCATGCTGTTAGGACATTTCAGCCTTTATCATTCTGCCTGTGTAAACGGTGGACAACACAGGAAAATGCCACCTGATGCTCTCAGGTGCACTTACAGACCCAGACCCATGCCACCACATTTAGAGGACAAATAACAAAAAGGATGTAAGATGTGTGGTTGGATGAGCTTCTAAGGGACTGTGGAGGGGGAGAGATTCCCAAGCAGCCTGGGTCAGGGATACCCTGGCTGGCCAGGGCTCTGCTTCATGACACGCAGCAACTGCTTATGAGGAACTCAGATGCCTTGTTTCCCCACCACAACCACCCTGAAAGGTTTCACCAGCACTGAAGCAGGAGATGCAGAAATCTACACCACTTTATAAAAAGCCCAGCTGACAACACGAGAGGAATGTGGCCCAGCTGGCAACACAAGGGGAAGGTGGCTGGTGAAACTCATCCTATTTCCCTGACTCTCAGGGGTCTCAGGTGTGTACAGGCAGCATCTCCTGGGCTGGACACCTGGGAAGCTCCATCTCTCAGGCAAAGACTCTCTTAGGGGTCTCTTGAGGCCAAGATAAAGCAACTAGGGAAAGTCTTAATTAAAGAAAAGTTATCTGATTAATTCATTGGTGATTAGGGTTTCGGGTTAGCTAAAGCTAAGACAGAAAGTGGCTAGGTTTCAAGCTCTTGAGGGTCAGTTTCATTCTATAATGTCGAAGGCCATTTTCCTGTTGCCTCATCGGATCTGTGGCCTCCACTCTGAGCAGCCTGCTCTGGGGACAGGTGTTCCCAAGGCTCCAGCCCCAGGCCTCCCAATTAGTCCCTCTGTCCCACATGGTGCTATCCCACGAAGCCTCGGTGGAGCCTGCAAGATCTGGTTCTGAGGAGCGTTCACCTGGTGAACTCAGGCACGTATACATGCACACATAAAGGTGGAGAGGTGAAAATGTACCTTTGCTCTTGTTTAGGGGAAGGAGAGTCTAAAATTGCTGATAAGAACTGTTATGCTATCAGTTGTCCTTTTCTCCTCAAATGGGCACAGCCAGTCCAAGCAGGTTCTCTAAGAACCCCATCTGTGTAGCTGGTGTTCGCTCTTGATTGACAATTACTTATCTTGGGTCCCTGGGAGAATGGCCCCTGGCTGAGAGGTCAAACTGGACGTGCAGAGCGCCACAGGCCAGCCAGCCAGAACAACAAGATGAGGCCATGACAAACACTCGGCCACACGAAACCCACTCTGAACCTCAAGCATATACTTAGAGCTTTATATTTATACATTGTCTTTCCTCCAAGAAATCTTAAGTGCACTCCACTCTTTCTTCCCTCCTCTCTCTACCAGAGGTTCACTGTGCCCTTGCTGGTGAGGACACACAACAGAGGTTAGAAAATGCTCCTCACAGGTGGCTCCTCCAGTCACCCAGCTTAGACTGGCTCTGTAGTGGGGGACACTGTCCCCACTACACAGAAGGGCAGAAGGACCCTCTCAAGGCCATGCTGTTCATATTTCATAAGCGAGTCTGAATTGATCTCTCTTGAGCTAATCTGCTCTCCTACTTCAAAAGTTTCTGAGTGGCTGCAGTTGGAAGCTGTGCAGGTGAGCACCTACTCTTGGCTGAGAACACAGGAGGCGGTCAATAAAGGTGCTCCTGGTGGAGAATGTCACCTCACTTATAGCCACCCCCCAGAAGCCACACCAGTAAGGACAAGGACTGGGAGCTCGGTGGCGCTCTTCAAGGCCGGGGCTTGAAGGCCCCCACCTTGCACTGCTTAACCTCAAATAAGGGGCAGGCAGAGTCCTTGACCTGAGAAAAAACCAAAACTAAATCTAGTGATTTGAGGTGATTCCAAGTCACATCGACCCTGTAGGACAGAGAACGGCTCACACTGTTTCCAAGGCTGTAAAACTTCAAAGGAGTGACCTGCTTCATCTTTCTCATTCGCTGGTGGGTTGAAACCACTGACCTTGGTGACCACTCGTCAGCAGCAGAATGCCTTAACTATTGGGCTATCAGAGCTCCTTCCCAAGGAAGGTTTCAGTAAGCCATGAACCTCTCAGAGCCTTTATTTCCCTCATCTACAAAATGGGGTTAATAATTCCTTCCCAAGCCCTCAGTGGGAACATTTATGTTAAGAGCTAGGCACAGTGGCTCCTGGTTCAAGCTCAACCCTGACAGTGGGTGTTGCACACCCACTTCCTTGGTGGCCGGTGAGAGCAAACATCATTCAGAGTGTGAGATGAAGGAAGTCAGGACAATGGGGGCTGAGAGTGGGGGGCCATAAAGAAGTCCTCTTGCTGTCCCAGGTAAGTGCTGGGGGTGGGGACCCTTCCCCACATCCTCCATGAAAACCCCACCAACCGCTGTCAGATACTCACATACTGTTGCTTCTTATCAGACAGCAGTCTGGTCATCTCTTCCCTTTCCCTTTTAATTTCTTTTTCATCATAGTAAAATTCACGGACTATGAACCTTCAAACAAGCAGAAAGAGGGTTATATCAGGAAGCTTCCAGCGAGTGGAAACCCCGTGTGTGGGGTAAACCAGCCGCTTGTCGAGGCGCCTGTGCCCTTACTTGTTTTCTTTGGCCTTGGTCTTGAAATCTTCAATCACTTTTCGAAACAGGGTCACAGTGAAGAGGCCACCCTCGTTGTCCTCAGCAATCAGTCTGTGGGAGAAAAACACCTGTTCACAGAACTGATCAACAGGCCCACCACGGTCCAGCGTTTACTGTCCCCATCTGCCGGGTGGCTTATGCTCAGAATCCAGAATGTGTCTCGTTACTTCATAACTCTTGTTTGGTGTTGTCATGCCAATTATGACTCAGAGTGATTCTATGAACAGATCTGAACAGTGCCGGATCCTGAGCCATCTTCATGATCCCTGACATGCTCAAGTCCACTGCTCCAGTCACCGTCTCAATTGCCTAGCTCTGTGGTATTTTTACTCTTGCCATTTCCCATTCTTTCTTGACCCTTCCATTCACTCACCCTCTAGACTAAGTCCTTCAGGACCTCCAGATGAGCTAAATAAAGGTCTCTGACACAGAGAAGGCTTGAGATGGGGAGTCCACAGAGCCCTAGCTCCAACCCATCTCAGTGTGAGAGTCTGGCAGGCTGCTCCTGGCCCTGAGCCATCCTATGCATGATGGGGTGTCCAGCTCTCACATGCTGTGATCACAGGAAGCAAGGATGATTTCTAGTTGTTGGAAACCATTCCAACATCCACTGCACTTTCAATGAAACAATATACCAATTGAACAGAGCCTCCGTGGTGCCCCTCAACACAGACTACGGTGCCCACTGTTCCTGGAGAGGTTTTCCCATTGCTCTTGGGAGTTGCTGGGGTTCGTGATTTACATGTCTTTGAGCCCTGCTGGTAACCTTGTTAAGTAGGAAGTCTTGTATACAGCACAGTTCTCTCCTGGGCATGCTGGCTGGTCACACCCATAGAATCTGCACCCCCAAAACTGCAGAGACCCCTTGAGGGTCACCTTTTCAGGGCTCGCTGGTCCCCTCTGCCAAGTAAGAGGACTAGAGCCTGGGGCCCCTGGACAAGGGACAGTAGTTCCAGATAACAAAAGAGCAAGCGGGGGAGAACAAGTACTCTTCACGCACCAGCTCCTGAGCCCCTGGAGATGCCCTCCTCCCCCTGCAGATGTGCCTGTCCTGGCTCATTGCTCCAGCCGCCCCCTGAGACCTCAGGCTGTGGCTGTCCTGTTCTCTGCATCCTTCCACGAAGCTCCTGATTACTATCTGCTCAGAGCTAGGAACCCCAGGAGAACTCACTTTTTTGAGCAGGCACCCTGGGGCAGAAGCCTAAGGCACAGGTGGGTGGAGGCAGGCCTGCGCCCAGCTTTGAATTCTCTGTGTGTGTCCTGGGTAGGGGAATGGGCAGGGACTGCATGGAGATCCAGTTTAAAAGTTTATTTTTTTTTTCAGTACAAGTATGAAAATATATTAAGGTCTGTAAAGTGAACATGTCTCAATCCACATTGAAGGCTCCAGTCCTTGACCTTCTGCAGCAAGAGCTTCAGGTCCTCCTCAGTTTTACCAAGCAGGGTTGTGTCATCTGCATAATGCATAAATCTTCCTCCAATCCTCATGCCACACTTCTCCTCATACAGCTCAGCCTCCTGGATAATCTGTTCCGCATATAGATTGAAAAGGTATGGAGATAGGACACATCCCTGGCGTACACCCTTCCCAATTTTGAACTAGTGTTTCCTTGCTCTGATGACTGCCTCCTGGTCCAAGTGTAGGTTTTGTCTTAGCACGATCAAGTGTTCTGGGATTCCCATTCTTCTCAGAGTCAGTCACAGTTTGTTGTTATCCACACAGTCAAATGTCTTTGCATAATCAATGAAACACAGCCTTCAATATGGATTGAGGCTCAAGATCAAGAAAAAAAGGATTCTCACCACTGGGATGATTGGCAGCCTCATGATAGATGGTGAAGAGATTGAGACTGTTCACAGCTTGAGTTTGCTTGGCTCCACAATCAACAATCTTGGCACCAGCAGCCAGGAAATGAAAAGATGTATTGAAATGGGAAAGTCTGCTGTGAGAGACCTCTCCAAAGAACTGAAGAGCAATGATATCAGTCTGGAGACTAAAGTGCACCTGATACAGGCCATGAATTACTTGTCATACACCAGAGAGCTGGACAATGATTAGGGAGGATAGAAGGAGAACTAATGCCTTTGAGCTGTGGTGCTGGAGAAGAGTGCTGAATACACCATGGACTGATAAGAAAATAAAAAGGTTCATCCAAGAGAGGGTTAAATCAGGCTGCTCCCTGGAGGCAATGATTCTGAAGCTTCATCTGACATACACTGGACATGCTGCAAGGAGGGAACAGTCCTTGGAGAAGGACGTCATGCTTGAGAGATTGGAGGGACAGTGCAGGAGAGGATTCAGTGTCTGGGGTAATTGGGGTAGGCGTGTTAGAGACAGATTGGCACAGAACAGAGCAGGACTTAGGGCTGTTGTACATAGGGTCACTATGAGTCGCAGGAAACTCTACAGCACATAACAACAACAAAGTGAACAATAATACCAATGATGAATGTTCTCCTCAGAACAACGAGTGAAAGAAGATGGTACAAAAAGAAAGTTCAGAAAGCAGGAAGGGCCAAGAAAGATGGACAAATGGAAATGGGAGCCCAGGCAGGAAAGGGGAGAGTGCTTTTACCTAGACAGGACTGCAACTAACGCCACACATCAAATGGATACTAAACTGTTTAACAGGAAACAAACAGTCTTTGAAAAGAGCTCTGGTGGCCAAGGGATAAGGAGGTTCACTGCCAACCCAAAGGCCGGCGTGGCAGATCGAATCCACCAGCTGCTCTGAAGGAGAAAGATGAGCAATTTCCTCCTGTGTGGTTTAGATTCTCGGAAAATCCAGTGGAGGGTCAGGCACTTAACAACAGCGGGTCTTGTACACTTTCATCTAAACCACAATAAATGTTGTTGTTAAGTGCCGTCGAGTCACAGGTGACTTATAGCGACCCTATGAAGGAGAGTCCTCAACGCTTGGGTGTCTTTCATCCTCTCTCCAGGTTCATAGGGTTTCTGGAGGCAAGCTATTACAGAAGTGGATGCCATTCCTCCTTCCACGCTTGTTTTAATTTGGGGAGCTCCACCCCACTCTCTGTCCACACTGGGTAACCAACCATTAACACATTTGACACATCAGTGTCACAGTGTTCAGCCTCACAGCAACCACAAGTGACCGCTGTACAGGAAGTGGACACACCAGGGCTAGCGACCTAGAGGATAAATAAATAGGTTTTTAAAATATTAAGAATTTCTCTGTAACAACAGCATAAAGCATCCAGATGACACAGTGTCTGACTGCTAACCCAAAGGCTAGCAGTTCAAATCCATAGAGCAGCTCTGTGAGAGAATGGCCTGGTTGGTGATTAGCTTCTGGGAAGATTCATTTACTCACTTGCCTCAAGTTGATTCTGCCTCAGCAACCTTCCACTGAGTTCTGAAGCTGTAAACTATTATAGAAGGAGAATGATGTCCACCTTCCTTCCTCAAAGTGCTTGGTGAATTTGAACCACAGATCTTACAGTCAGCAGCCTGGCATTTTATGTACTAAGCCAGGGGGAGGGGGAAAGTTTAGAGCCTAGAAAACCTTATAAAGATATGAATCTGATCTGATTCCACGGAAGCCAGCAAAGGTGGCCCAACTGCATCTCCTTCCCTTTCTGCCCCGGAAGTTGCCACAATCCTGAGCAGGGTGGGAGGGGTTTTTTTTGGTTTTTTGGGGGTATTTTTTTTTTAACTTTCTATTATAAACTGAGTGAAAATTGATAGAACAAATTGTTTTTCCATTCAACAATTCATGCACTTAACATGCCATTACATTATTTACAATCCCCACATTTTAACAGCACACTTCCCATTACCTCCCTACGTTTCTCAATTTTCAGCTGTCCATCTGTCCTCTCCCTTCATGCCTTCTGAGCTTTACTCCTGGGATGATACTGCCCTTTCAATTATTTGAGTGATTGTTCAAGGAGTGTGCTTCTCCCCAGTGTTTTTAATCACTATATAGGCCCGTCCATTGTTTGGTTGGTAGTTGAGTCAGTGGGGTGATTTCATTCCTGAAACATGACTCAGGATCATTTGGCATCTTGGAGGTTCCACTACTGTCTTCTAGACCACCAAGACTGGTCTTGATGATGACTTTTGAGTTTTGTTCTACATTCTTCTCTTGTTTTATCAGGGACTTTCTGAACAGTTAGCAATAGTTCATAGGGCACTGTCTAATTCTTCTGGTCTCAGGATAGTGGAGAATAAAGTTCATGTGGTTTATTATCTGGACTAATAGAATCTGTGATATTCTTCACTCTTCTCTGCTTTGGACAGTGAAAGGCCAATAGCTGCAGCTTTTAATATTCAAATCACTACTCACCAAACTAGAATATAAAGCATTACCTTTGCAGAGTATGGTATGCCAGACGACATTAAGGTCTCTTGAGACTATAATCCTGAGGGAGCAAGGCATTTCTCATTCACATCCTACTTATAAAATCCTCTGGTACTCCTTTGCGTGTCTAAGCTACTTAGCATTGACTTCTGTCTACATTTGGACTTTGAATATGTAACATAAGTCCAAACCCCTTTATCTGTGGTGATAGTCTCATTGGGAATGGGTAGTCTTCGTGTGAATGAGGCAATCTCTTATGAGATACAAAAGAGATTAAACAAACACATAAACAAGCAAAGGAAGAGAAGAAGACAAACTGCATGAAGATGCCCCAGGAGCATCTTGAAATCAAGGAGAAGTTAAAAAGAAAATAAGTCCTTCTCCCAGAGCTAATAAAGAGAGAAAGCCATCTCCTAACACTGGTATCCTGAATTTGGGCTATAAGCCTCCTGGTAGAGAACTCTGGTGGTCTGTTTGTGAAGAGTTGTGCTGCCAACTCACAGACACACGGTTTGAATCCACCAGCTACTTTGCATGAGAGTGATGGGCAATCCGCTCCTGTCTGATTTACAGCCTCTGAAAACCCACTGGTGGATTATCTACATGTCAGTTCTGACCAAATGGCACATAGCAAGCTGTCTGTGTGAAAAGAAACTGAAAGTTACACATTTGTGGCAGAGGCTCTGGTCAGGCTCTCTGAGGCGGGGAAGAATCAGAGTCCAAGCCTGAGGAATTACAGAGTGGGCGCAGCCCCAGCACTGGGGCTGTAGGCACACTGAGGAGATCTGTCAGCTTGCAGCGCTGCGGGTGGCTTCCCAGGGGAGGGTCAAGGAAGATGAGATCTGATAGACAACGGGGTTTAGCATGTGGATAAGCTGTGTCACAGAAGAGATGCCATGTTTGGTGGTGGGACCTTCTGTTCCCTGCCACGCTCAAGTCACTCACACACGCTCCCCTTGGGCACCTAGAGCAAAGTTTGAGTATCACTTACTTGGTCGACCGAGGCACCACCATGTCCGAGAGGGATTCATAGGTTTTTTGCCACTGCGTGTACTTTGGTCTGTAAGAACATACAAAATAAGTCAGTGAATTCTGCAGAAGCAGCTCTTCGATATCCAAGCATTTGGGAAGTTTTACATATACCTAGTCTACCAAAGAATTTGTGGTGAGCAGAGCTGGGACAAGAGAAATCCCCATTCTCTCAGGTCTGCCACAGGCATAGGGGACTTGCTGCCTACCATTTCCTGGGCCCCACGTGCTGTGAGGGCCTCAGGACTCCCATGAAGAGAGGAGGGCTCTACAAGAGGAGCTTAGCCACAAACATCTGCTTAGAGGCCTGGCACTCAGAAGCTTTCAAATCCTGGCCCTGAGTGACCCTGGCAAGTGAGTTGTCCTCTCTAGCCTCATAACAATGCAAATAACAATATACCTCATAGGGTGGTTGTGAGAATGACACGGGATAATTGTCTACAGTCAGCACATAGCAGGTGCCCAATAAGTTATGTCATCCCTGCTGTCCCCACAGTGCACCGTCGGGCTCCTACCCTGACAGTTACCACGTGGAGGCCACTGTGCAGACTGTCTGCTTCCTTGAGAGCAAACACAAGAGACTTTTCTGCCCTATGCTTGTCTTCCCAGCTCAGAACCAGGCACCAAGGAGAAGATGGCTGATGGCCCTGGGGCACCCAATACAGGCCCAGATACCATACACCCCACTTTCTATCTCCCTTACTTGGGAACAATGACCAGGAGTGTGATGAGATATTCAGAATCCAGCACAAAGTCGTCTTTGTTCACAATATCGCAGAGTGTCCGAGTGAAGAGGTTGCCCCTGAAATCCATTTGAAACAAATAAGGTTTATGACAAGCATAAAGCAAGCATGGACTGGTGTTTGCAGGCCCCCAGGCCTACCCACAACACACAGAAGTGACAGAGACAGCAGAGACAGCTCAGGAATGTTCCTAGGGAGAAACAGGGGCACCATGGGAGCTCAAGCGTAGAATACAGTGAGAGGCCTTGGGACTGGCTCATTAATGCCTATGAGCCCCTGGGCTCCTGGGCTCTGGCTCCCTTCTCTTTGCTGTTTCTGAGCTGTCAGGGTGATGCCTCCTCCCCTCCAGGGGTAAACCAGCAGGTCTTTGAGTATTATCACCAGTTACCAGAGGGGCTCCCGAATCCAGCACCTCAGTGACCTGCTGTACCCCCACATAAGCTTGGTTACCAACTCCTGGAGAGGACGCTGGGTGGCAGGTAGCTTAAGTTGCTCAAATGTCAACAAGGCAGCTGACTCGGGAAGCCACTCAGCCTTAGGAACAGAGGTAGGCCCAGATCTATCTCTGTTTCACTTTACAGGCGTTCAGATCCAGCAGCCCGGGGAGCACTCACCTGAAATGGCTTTTAGGTACTCAGTGGAAATGGGTGCATCAAGGCCAGGGTATTAGTGCACAGGTCAAGGATGCAGCGCTAGCAAATGAGTCAGGTACAATAAGCAAGACTGTGCGTAGCAGCATTAGCACACAGGCTGCGTGGCTAGCCACGGCTGTGGGATTAACACACAGTGCTTCCCTATTAAATTGGCCCTCCGCCAAGGCCGAAGCTTTAGAGGCAAGGGTAAAATACCCTCTGACAATGTGCCAAGGAGCCTAGCTCCTATCCACGCTTGCATGACCGGCTAAATGGCTGTGGGCAGATTCCCTTAGGTCTCTCTATACAGACTGTGTGTTTGTGTGCGCCTTTCCACCCCAGTGGAAAGTCCTGTGGTTAGATGCTGCTGAGCTGACTACAACTCTTAGCGACCCTCTGATCAATACCCTGCACCATCCTCGTGATCTCTGCAACGCTCAGTCTCTGCTGGAGGTCCTCCTCCTACTCTACCTTTCCCAGCATCATGTCTGTTTCTAAAGACATGTCCAATGTCTTGACAATATGTCTGATGTATGTGACACACTTTGCAAAGTATCTTGCACTCTTAGACCTGTCTCTGAATTCTCACAACCTGGAGCAAAGAAGACTTCCGATAACCATTTGCTGAATGAGTAAACTTGAGCCCTGTAAAAGCAGAAATTAACTAGTACTCTGATTCAGCTATTTAGGGCCTAGTATAAAGCCTAAGGGCATGTTGCTGCTGTTGTGTGCAGGCAAGCTGTCCCTCCAGTGGGTTTTCAAAAGCAGTAAATCACATGGGAGGAGACAGCCCGTTCTTCTCCAGCAGAATAGCTGGTAGATTTGAACCGCATGCCTTTGGGATTGCACCATAGATTCTGGGCATGTTGTTGTTGTTATGTGCCATTGAGTCACTTGCGACTCTTAGTGACCCTATGTACAACAGCCCTAAACTCTGATTCTGGGCATAGTACGTGCTTAATAAACACTTACTTACCAAAAGTAGTAATAGGAGAGGAATGACTGTTTTGACCCTCTTGGTAGCCCTACTCCTTTCCTCAGTATTGGAGCTTTGGTGCCTAATATATGTGGGGTTGCTAACCAAAAGTCCAGTGGTTCAAATCCACCAGCTGCTCCATGGGAGGAAGATGATTTACAGCTTCAAAAACCCAATGGAGAGTCACAAATGACTTGATGGCAATGGTTGGGTTGATTTTTTTTTTTCATGATTTACTCGATGGCACATAACAACAACATGATTTACTCAGTATGTGTGTATTAATAAATCAGTGTTATTGTGAACGAATGAATGAACTTCTTCACTAACTGATTCAGATGTTTGCAAAGGTCCCAACCAATTCTCAAAATGGTATACAATTTGATGGAGAAATGAGTGCACGGGTAGCCCAGTGGCTCAATGGCTCCATGTCCACCAGCTCAAAGCCTTTATTGATCTAAGGTAGAAGGCTGGAGAGAGACTCTCAACAAGATGGAATGACGCAGTGATAAGGGGCTTGAACAAGTCACAGATGATCAGGATGACACAGAAAAGGACGAGGCTCTGATCTGTTGTTCACAGGGTCATTATGAGTCATAGATGGCTCGATGGCACCTAATAACAACAACTACCGCTAGCACCCTGCCGTCTCCCATTTGCCCTACCCTCCAAGGTGGAGTAGGCTCACAGAGGAGACAAAACTCAACATCTATTTTCCCCCTCTTTGATTTCAATTGTTCCATTGTGAGAGGAGATGGCCAGTTGTGGGCATCTTTGGACCACTCCCTCTGGAGGGTCGCTCCAGACTGAGTCTGGGGAGATAGTGGGCATTATCCATGGTAAACTCTGTCCTGCTCAGGTCCAACCTCCAGCCACCTTAGGAGGATCTCACCTGGCTTCTTCTCACACATTTCCAACAATAAGATGCTAACTACCTTCCAGGTGGTCACTGCCACCATGACACTGAGTTTATACCTTCCTGCCAGTTCTTGTCACCATCCAGGTGACTCATTCTGGCTGCTGGGCCTCACAAAGCAGTCTGTTCTCTTTCCTGTATGGTGGTCCTCCGGGCATGTCTCAAAACTCAAACTCCTCACCATCGAGTCAGATCTGACTCTCCGCTGACCCTCCAGGGAGTTTCAGAGGCTGTGAATCACACGGGAGGAGACTACCGTCTTTTCTCATGCAAAGCAACTGGTAGATTCGAACTATGTGCCTTTGGGTTGGCAGCACAACTCCTCACTCACCCAGAGCTCTCTAAACATGGCACTTATGCACTGAAATGTCTCTGCTCTTGACTACAAAAAAATTTCATTGTCTTCTGCTGCTTTTCCCAAGGGACAATACATTCTGGCATTCCTTTGCCTTATGTCTCCATAGGAGTAAGAGCCTGGAACACAGAACAGGTACTCTGATGAGCCAAGGAGGGCATGTGAGAGGCAAAAGTGTGGTGTGCTGAGAAGCAGCACCCCTATTTCTCTTGGGGAACATGTGGAAGGCACTCCTCCCAGGCTGCCCAGATCCTCTCTGAGTCTGCAGATCTTGGAGGGGGGGTTGGGCAGGAAAGCTGTCAGCACACTGTCATTCTTCCACACGGACAAAGTGACCCCGAGGCGAGGACACAGACCCGCTGGGGCTGGATACTCACATTGACTTCTTCTCCAGGTTCTCCAGCTTGGTCTTCAGAGTGTTGTAAGTGGCCGTTCGGGATTTCAGATCTGTCTCAATTTGCACTAATTGCTACAGATGTAAAATTAAGAGACTCTAGTGAACTGGGGTATGTGAGATATTGTAGAATGTTTCAAAACAAGGCACAAATTACTCAGGACACACTTAATAAAAGTAAGAGATCCTTTCCATTTGTCACGGGATGGCTTATGCGTCTTTCTCCTTGACTCTCCTGACATCCCAGTGCTTGACTCTGACAGTAAACCTGTGGACAGGCAGGGAGAGGAGTAATATCCTCTTTACAGATACTGAGACCCAAATGGTTTTTCCAAGGTCCCACAAAGAGTCAAATCCTCTAACTCCAACCCATTCCACAAAGTGTGAGCAGTACTATGGGCCTTCCACATCCAGCACTCTCAGGCCCTTCCGGAGCACAACCCACGCAGAAGCAGAAACTGTGATTCTGTGGAGTCCACTCCGGCTCCGTCCTGCCGAGGTGGCTGTGGCCACGTTCAGCCCATGCCCTGCAGCAGCCTCAGGGTCTTTTCAACCTGAGGCCAGGTTACCCTTTTGATGTTTCAAGAGGGATCCCTTGTTCTAAGCTCCAGGTTTTAGGGAGTAAGTCCCAAATCTTCCTTCTATAGGTAGGAAGAAACAGGGAGATGTGGAATAAAGAAATGGTAACTAACACTGCTGGGACTCAGATTCTCCATCTGCTGAACATAGGTGAGAACAGAAGGGGCTACAGAAATGTTACCAAAAGGGAAAGGAAAATAGAGATCTGGTTCTTGAAGCCCATTCAGTAGATGCTAGCTGAGGACTGCTGCAAATGAGCATGTGAGGTCAGTGACGCCAGCAACGCAATGCCACAGCTGTGTGCTGAGTACTGCTAGTAAGATAATAAACCACCAGCAGCCCCTGCCCTCTAGGGACTTACATGTTAATAGCAGAATCCATTCATAAAGAATGTTAAAGTATAGTAAAAATGAAATAGTGTGCAACTACAAATAATGCTAGACTTAAATCTGCAGAAACTCAGTGCCGATTATGTATGTTTCTTCCTAACTCATCAATTCCATGTTCACTAGGATGGAAATGTTCACACCACAGAAAGCAACAAAAGTAAGATCTTTTTGTGAAAGAGCTGGTCTCCCAGAATGCCTGTCAATACGAGACTACCTCAAGAAGCATTATATAAAACAAAAATCAGATGAACCTAATTCAGGCCATGGCCTTGTCAATCATTTGCTATGCATCTGAAAGCTGGGCAGTGAATGAGGGTGACAGAAGGAGAGTAGATGCCTTTGAGCTGAAGTGTTGGAGAAGAGTACGCAATACCTCAAGAACTGCCAAAAAAACAAATAGTTACGTTTTGGAAAAAGTGGAGCCAGAGTGCTCCTTGGAGGCAAAGACGACAAAGCTTTGTTTCACATAGTTTTGGCATGTTGCTGGGAAAGGCTAGTCTTTATAAAAAGACATCATGCTTAGAAAGATTGGGAGTAGGTGAAAAAGAGGAAGATCCTTAACATGTTGCCGCAAAAGACGGCAAATGTGTTTCTAAGCACGGTCATCAATTTTAAACGTGTTAACAAGACGGAGTGACACTGTGACCACAGCAATGGCCTCCAGTATGTCAGATATGATGAGGATGGCGCGGGATGGGACAGGGTCATATCTGTTGTTCACAGGGTCTCAACTTGATGGCACCTAACAAAAAAACTGTTCTTGAGTCCGATTTTGACTCTGAAAACAGTCCACTGTGTTTTCAAGGCTACATATCTCCATAGCTTATACTAGATATTGCCCTTCTATCTCCTCCGAGGTGGATTCAAACTGATGCCAACCTTTTGGTGAACAGCCCGATACACTGTGTACTACACCACCAACACTCCTTACAGTTGCATATAAAAAATAAAAAAATAAAATCCTTGCTGAAGAGTCAGAACTGACTCCTAGCTGATCCTCCATCAGGTTTTCCATCCTGTAAATGACCCAGGAGAAGATGGTCTATCTTTCTCCTAGGAGTTGCTGTTGGGTTCAAACAGCCAGTGTGGTATGGCCTTTGCATAAGCAGTGCAACTCCCTCAGACTACCCGCCAGCAGTCACTACACTGCATACTGATACACAGACACGGTCTCTCTAGGAGCTCTGGCAGCGAAGTCTATAGAAGCTGCACTGCCACCCATGCCTCCCGGCTGTTCAAATCCACTAGCTGCTCAGAAAGAAAAGATACCCAATCTCATACTTGTGATTGACATCCTCTGAAAACCCACTCGGAGGTCATCTATGAGTTCTGGCTCACCAGCATTAACTTTTCTTTGATATATGTTTTATGTACATAAGTATATACACACAGATCATTCCAATTACATATGTATTGACATAGATACACTTCAAACATACACATATGGGTTGCCCTTAAGGAAAGTAAAGAAATGGAGGTGGAGTTGATGACCAGGTTAACATTTCTTATCTTTATGATAGGCTTACTTTAAATAATATTTATAAATCTGTATTTTACCATTTCTTGAACTTTTTACTTTGAAATGTATTACAGATTCATAGAAATTGTAAGAAAAAAACCCATAAAGTTCTCCTGTGCCCTTCATCCAGTGTCTACCCATGGTAATATCTTACACAGGTATGGTGTAAGTTCAGAAACAAAAAAAGGGCATAATTTACAGATTTTTATCTTTAAAATAATATTTCTATTTTGGGGCTTTTAAAAAACAAAACAGCCAAAAATATCAATACATTGTCCTCATTTTTCTGATTGTCCTACAGCAATGAAAAAATGTGGCCAGGTATTTGGAACTCAGTAAAGCAGTGGAATGAACCAACTGGGAAACCAAATGAATGTAAATTCCAAATCTTACCAGTTCTCTGACCTGGTGTAAATGCCTTATTTTTCTTGAGCCCTGGAGATGCCAGATTATGATTGGGCTTCATCCCTAAACTTGTTTTACAGTGTAATATCCACATAAATAGGAACAGTTAGGGATGGTGTATGTATAACTAACATCAAGTGTTTGTCATAGTCCATAGAATTACCTGTCCATGCATAAAAACATATTCAAGACAGTAAAGATAGACTAAGACATCTTTAACATAATGCTACACCAATAATAATAATGTCTTGATGCATATTGCAAAGCTGCATTCATTTGTTACTGACAATTGTATGCACCTCACATTGTTAATATGATGAGCTTTGCAGGGGCTGGTATTGGTTCTTACTCAAAACAATGAATATGTAAACTGGGCATCTGTAACCTGGAGATCACCTGTATTACAGAATTGGGAGACTAAACACAAAAGCCAAGAGCCAAAGTCATTTCGATTGAGTTGGAACCGTCTCATAGCTCTATTTTCTGTGACTGTAAGACTGTCCATCTTTCTTGCTTGGAAAGGCTGATGGATTCAAACCACCAAAGAGGTGGACTCTGAGTTGGCAGTGCAACTCCCTTCAGACTATGCCATGGGAGCTCCCTAAGGTACCAAAGTAAATGCAAAATAATTCTGAGTCCTTTCCCTCACTAGGCCCAACTCCTCAAGGAGCTATGCCATTTACCTCCACAGTTTCCAGCAGGGGGACAGTACTTGAGTGATGGGTGATGTTTAAAAGACATTTGCTTAAGAGACCCAAACTCTAATGGACTATATACATGTGTAAGAGTGTGTAGAAGCCGGTCTAAGACCAGATTGTCTGCAGCTGGCCAACAAATCAGTATATCTGTACTGGGCACTACAGTCATCAGGGCTGTTAACCAAGTCTTTCCAGCTGTGCGCCCTCAAGCCACAGCACTTGATTATGGGGCCTACAACAGAAGGCAGGTATGCTGGGCACAGCCTTTGTGAGCCAGTGATAAAACCCTCTCCTGTACCAGCCAGGGATGGGTTAGGTGGTGGAGACACTGTCAGCTAATACTCCTACCAGAAAGTCCACACAAAGCAGACCACTCCTATCCCTCACCAACCACTGGAACACACACTGCATTGTTATGCCTATGAAATCTGGGGCTTTTCTGAACCCTAATCTGAGCTGCGGTGACTGACACCAGCCTTGGGCTGGGCTCCCCTTGCCAGGTACCATGCATGGCCAGATGGGAGCCCCTGGGATGAGTCAGAACATCCTCTGACTGGGGTCCTCCCACCACTACAAACAATAGCCTCATACTCCTGCTCAAGAGAGGCAAGTGTGGCTCAGCCCAGGTCTGCCACAATCTGTGTGCAAGGGGCAGCTTGGGCCTCCAGCTCCTCTTCTGCAAACAAGGATTATTAGCTCTGCCAGCCAACTCCAGGTTGTTTTGGGAATGTGAAGGCCTCACCCCTGAGTGCTCTCTGCACACTGCAAACCCTGTCATCTCAAGCTCTTCCCAGGTGTGGCAGGCAAAGCACAGACATCCAGCAAAGACTTCTCAGAACGCCTGGAGAAGTGAGAGAGCTGCCGCCTTTGGGTCCACCACTGAAGGAACTGAGTTCCGAGTTCCCTTCTCAGAGTTTTGATAGGCTATCTCTAGTGAGCTGTTTGAGATCTTCTGTTTGGAGAACAAGGCCAGACTCAGGACTAGGGTGTCTCACAAGCTCATTCCAAGTGCTGGAAGGAGTGAGGAAGCCAGACCCTGCTGGAGCCTCTGCCCATCAATGCCCTCCACAGGGCAAGTTCTCAGCCTACAAGCTGTATTCCCCAGTGCCCTGCACTCAGATCCCAGTCACAATACTTAAAAAGCTGTATTCTTGGGATATGCCATCACCTCCCAGCCCGCTTCCTCAACTGAAAATGAAGGAAAATGATAGGAAGATGTGCTATGTGTACCAGCTCAGCACACCATCAGGACTATCACAGCTGGGCCCTCCACCCACCTTGCCTCCGCTTCTCCAGCCACTTGCTGGGTCCACTGAGTTGGAAAGGTTGAAGCCCCCCACCCCAATCTCTACTGAGTCCCTACTCTCAGGCAACTCCCTGAATGCACTCCAGGACTCTCATCCCCGAGGTCAGACAGGCATCCCCGGAAGGGCCTTGCTGGGCAGCGCTTTCCTGGGTGGACTCAGCCAGCCACACTGACCGCCCTTGTCTGGGCTGTTTCTAGTTAAGCGGTGGCAGTGTGAGGTGTGCAACACGCTGGGAAAGCCAGATCCGGGCAGCCTGTCCTTGAAGGGCCTTCCAGAATCACTGCCTGATTGTCCCAGAGGCCTTGGTGATGTAAGCTGTACCCTGGGGAGCCCCACCCAGATTCCCTAAACCGCCCAGCTCCACCCCAGTTCCCAGAGAGGCAGGCTAGGAGCACCTGACTCTCAGACACAAATAGAGCTGTGGAGAGATGGATCCCAGAGGCCCATCTCCTTTCCACTGACCCACCCATCAAGCTGAGAACAGGAAGGCTTTGTTCCAGGCACAGGACAGAGTCTCACCCAACCACTACAAGCTTGCCTGCTTGACGTTTAGAGGAGCTCAGTAAACTGTGGCAGGAAAGGGGTCGGGGGAGGGGGGGAGAGGGGAGAAGGCAGACATAAATGATCAACGTGAATCTCAGACCTTTCTTTAGAGCTCACTTGCCATCAGCACAAACTGAAGTCAAGCTCGCGGATAGATAACCCAAAAGGGTCTTCTAAAGGTTGGGCATCATTTTTCTTCCACTCCTTGCCAACACACAGGAATTGCTGGGGTGCCACTTACTGCCCTCACTACTGTCAAAGGAAGCTCAAATGAGGTCCTGAGGAATGAAAATCATAACGCCGATGTCTCCCAATAAGTTGAGGGTCCGGGAACTACTGTTCAAAGTGCCAGAGGAGACTCCAGCCAAGCTTTCTACTAAAGCAAATAGTTTCTCTCATGTCAATAATCCCCTGAGAGGGACAGTGTCAGGTTCTTAAGAGTAGATCACTCATTCATTCGCTCACTTCCTGCTGTCAGGGCCACCTCATAATGGCCCTCCAGCAGCTTTCTGAGGCTGTAAATCTCAACAGAAGGAGGCTGTCTTTCTCCCGCAGTCACTGGAAGATTCCAGTGACTGGAGATCTAGAGCCTCTGGGTTAACAGCAAGACTCTCCAGGAACTATATCACTAGAACTGCCTTAGGAGTAAGTAAGGGAAGAAAATAAAGAAACTATTGACAGACCAGGCAAGTTCCATTTCTAGAACCCATATCAGAGCCAGACAATGCCCAGCTACCACTGCTGAATGCGCAGAATGAGATCACACACAATAGGAGGTCTCTGGTGAGAATGAGAGAAAAAAAGGGATCAAACATAGAAGTTTTAAAAAGACTGGTGAAGCCCCCTAAGGTTATGGCCCTTAATCACTCTTCAAACTTGGAACAGAAATCATCCTGTGACTGAACTAGTCAAACAATACCTAGGCCTGTGAGGTGATCAATAGCACCTGGAAGGAATGCAGCCCTGAGAACAATCAGCCACAGAAAGCCGAAAGGGCAGGGAGAGCAGAGAAGGGCGAGTGGAACTCGGGAACAGGTGGGGACTCCGATCACTACCACAACAGAAAACATATGAACTGGTGGATGGAAAAGCCAGTATGCTCTTCAAACATTCACCCAATCACAATAAAAGGGTTTTTTAAAAAAAGACAGATGAATGTGAATGAAATCCAAAGTCTCTGTAAAATAATTTTTTTTTAAAAAAAGAAAACAAACAAAGATAGATGAGGACTGGAGTTGAGTTTCTTTATCAGAATTTGTTGGGGTTTTTTTAAATTAATGATTTTTAAA